CAGATAAGGATTTAAAAGGAAAGTAGAAAATACAGTCACAATACCATCATCACAACCTTTGGAATTAATGTCAATTCTTTCATATCACTTACTACACAATCTATGCTGTTTTCCCTGTCTTAAAAATGTATTCTTATTGTTTTATTCAAATCAGGACACAAACCATATCCATGCATTGCATCTAATTCATGTGATTTGTATGTCCTTTTTAATATAACATTTTTTCCTCCTTTATACTTCTATTTGCTGAAGAAACTGGGTCATTATTCCTTGTTTTGACAGTTTATCTTCACAGTATCATTGAACATGTTTCTATAATTGGTATTTAGATTTAGAAGCTTGACTGGATTCAGGTTCAATACTGTTAAAATTAAGTATAAAATGGAGGCCAGCCTTGAAAATTCCCTGAGGAGAAAAAACATTTTAGCCAGGTAAACAAAACTAAATCTAGCATATTTCATAAATATAAGTACAATTTAGGCTATTTCTTGTAACGGACTCTGATAATCCTGAAAGAAACTTAAGTCCTCTTCCTAAAAATAAAATGAGATTATCACTTTTAATCAATCCTCAGCCATCTGGAAACCACCCCCTGTCGTAACCAATCATTGTAAATCATTATTAAACAACATCTTCATTTTCACTTTATAAGCCATCCTTGTAACATCATTCCCCTAGCTTTATTCAGTTTTAAATTTGAAAGCTCTGTTTGTGAACTGTTCTTACATGCACAATAAACTTTTACTATTTATTGAGTGGGTGATTTTAATTTCACCATTTCTGAATTTTTGATGGCATTTTCAGCTAGAATAGCTTATAACTAGTGCTGTTCCTTGCTATTGCAGCACCAAATATAATATCTATCTCAAATATATCTGACTGTTAATAATATTATTACTACAAAAAATGGACAAGTAGGTTTTAACCTTTGTAGAACAATTCTGATCTTTTACATGATGGTTTAGGCAGTTACTGATGATCATTGCCTAGATTTGTTATTTCTTTTTCTTTTTTCTTAAAGATTTTATTTATTTATTTAGTTATGAAGGACACATGGAGAGAGGCAAAGTTACAGGCAGAGGGAGAAGCAGTCTCTTCTCAGGGAGCCCGATGCGGAACTTGATCCTGGGACTAGGATCACACCCTGAGCCAAAGGCAGACAACCACTGAGATCCAGGCATCCCTAGATTTGTTATTTCATTAGTATTACAACATAGCCATCTTTGAATTCTTTCCTTCCTTCTACATGTATTAATTTCTACAAAAAAGAAATTTCGAACTATTGTTATTTTATATATACATATAAGACTAGATAGACAAATATTTGATTCTTCCCCTTTATTAAGTTTTAGAAAAACCAACTGATATTTAGCAACTGATATTTAGCAATTGATATTTAGCCTAGGTGACTAAAGAGTTTTGTTTTTTTTTTTTAAGTACCATTATAAACCCTTGTTTTCTTTATCTGTTTGGTATGCTTCAGTGCATTTGAATGACTACTATTTTGATGCTCAAAATGGTTTATCTTTGACCAGTGTGAGCCCTTTCATGCTGTCTTCTGTTTCTTTATGATACAGTATCAAGAGTTTTTTTAGTTTCCTTGATTTCAGAGATGACAAGATATCTCAGATTAATCTTATATTCATCATACTGCCCAGGTGAAGAATCAGCCATTTTTCTAAGGAGACCTAGTTCCTTTTAGTGGGAAATCATGTTTGAAGATGAAAATGGCACTAGGAGTCCCATTTCTACTAGTTAGTAATTGCTTCTAGACGACTATGCAGATAATACTAAGAAATAGATATATTTTTGGAATGAAAAAAATACAGAGTTCATAAAACTAATGCTTCCAATTAAAATGAAAAAGTATGAGGTTCTTGCCTAAGTTATTTGATTTGTATTATTTACCTCTTAACCTTAATTTCTTAATCTCTTAATTTTGCCACAAGACACAGATTTTCCTGTAGAAACATAACAATGAGAGACAATAAATAGTTATTTCTAAATACTTAGAAATGTCATTTCACTTCTGTTTTCTCAATTTCTCCATTTGTATATTGAAATAAAATAAGTAGTATGTAAGTCAGTTCATAGAACTATTTTAAGATTGCTTTGCAGCATTGAGGAAAGAGAATAACAACACTGATTGAGAACAGTATTTTGCTAGGCAATGTGATAGCATATGTTTATATATTACACATATTTCTCATTTTAGCCTTAAATAAAACTATGAAGTAGATATTTTTATTAATCCCATTTTGCAAATGAGAAACCTGGGTCTTAAAGAGAAGTTAAATAACCCACTAGGATGGCAGTAATAATAATAATAATATAATAATAATAATAATAATAATAATAATAATAATAATGGCAGCCCGGGTAGCTCACCATCTTCAGCTGAGGGAGTGTGTGATCCTTGAGACCCAGGATCGAGTCCCACCTCAGGCTCCCTGCATGGAGCCTGCTTCTCCTTCTGTCTGTGTCTCTGCCTCTCTCTCTCTCTCTCTCCTCTCTCTCTCTGTGTGTGTCTCTCATGAATAAAGACATAAATCTTAAAAGAAAATTACAGAAGACCTATTATATAGGTCTAAGAAATAGATAATCCAAGAAAATTAAAATCTTTAAAAATAATAATAATAACAAAGACAGATAATACCAAGTATTAACAAGGATGTGGAGAAACATTGCTAGTGGGAATGTAGAATGGCGCAGTTACTTTGGAAAACAGTTTGGCAGCTCCTTAAAAGTTTGAACATAGAGCTACCATATGATCTGAGGTATATACATAAAAGAATTCAGAATATATGTCCACATAAAAACTTGCATACAAATGTTCATAGTAGCATTACTCATAATAACCAAAAAAACCAACCCAAAATATTCATGAATGAATAAACTAAAAATCAGAGAGCCTAGTAATAGAATATAATTCAGCTATAGAAAGGAATGAAATACTGACATATGCCACAATCTAGATGAAATGGGAAAATTATGCTAACAAAAGAAGCCAGACACAAAAGCAAGCCATAAGAGCTCTTAACTATAGGGAACAAACTGAAGGTTGCTGAAGAGGAGTTGGTTGGGGGATGGTATAACTGGGTGATGGGCATGAAAGAAGGCACTTGATGCAAGACCACTGAGTGTTATATGCAACTGATGACTCACTAAATTCTACCCCTGAAACTAATAATATACTATATGTTAACTAAATTGAATTTAAATCATTTTTTAAAAGGCCACATATTATTTGTCTCCATTTATACAAAATGTTCAGAACTGGCAAATCCATAGAAACAGAATGCAGGTTAGTGGTTGCCAGGGGTTGGAGGTAATGGAGAGTGGCTGCTAATGGCATGGAGTTTCTTTTTCGAGTGATGAAAATGCTCTGGAATTATGTAGTGGTGATAGTTGTTACAACTTTGTGAATATACTTAAAACTGCCAAGCTGTATGATTTAAAAGGGTGAATTTTATGCTATATCTCAATGGCATATCATCTTTATTGGTTACATATCAATAAAGATGTCATTTTTAATATGAGGTTGGGATTTTATGTAGTATCACAAAATTGGAGCAGGGTAAGCTATTATTTGAACCAAAGCAATCTAGTTCTAGAGCCTGCAATTTTAATGGTTCTGTTTTCTCTATCTCTAGTGAGAAGAAATATACTAGCTGGTATCATTTTATTTATCATCTCCTTGCCCCAAGGATATAATTTAGTGTACATGGAAGGGCCAGGCTGAAGATTTCTATGAACAAAGCTTTTGGTAATGATCAGTTATGATTAATTATAATCACAGGCAAGAACCTGGAGGATATATATTTCATTGCAGATAAAATTGAATAGTACCTATTAACTTCCTATTAAGTGATTCCTCTTATTCCCTCACACATCATATCCAAACCATCACGAATCTTGGCTCTGTGTTCAAAATACATCCAGAATCTGGCCTTCTCACTGCTGCCATGAACATCACCTTCATCCAGGCTACCATTATCTTTCACCAAGACATTGTAAAAGCCTCCTAACTGGTCTTTCTTTCCCTCTGTTCTTATCTAGTACATGTATCTGCACGGTAGCCACAATGGTATATAAAAATGAAGGTCAGATCAGATTCCTCGCCTGCCTCTTTCCAAAGTCCATTGCTCCAAGTATAAAGTCTAAAATCTTTCCAAGTCCTCCAAAATCTGCAGACATCTCTGACCTCATCTACTCATGCTCTTCTTTCTCATTGTACCAAGATATTCTAATTTCATATCTTTTTTTTAAGATTTATTTATTTATTTATTTATTTATTTATTTATTTATTGAGAGAGAGAGAGAGAGAGAGAGAGACGCAGAGGGAGAAGCAGGCTGCATGCAGGGAGCCCGACGTGGGTCTCAATCCTGGGTCTCCAGGATCACACCCTGGGCTGCAGGCGGGTCTAAACCGCTGTGCCACCGGGGCTGCCCTAATTTCCTATCTTAAACAATAATCTGGTCGTACTTCAGTAACTTTGCCCTTCCTGTGCAAAGAACACAGGACCTTCTAGGTAGCTCTGGCCCTAGAAATCCACATGATCCTCTCACTTCATTCACATCTTTTTACAAACTCCACCTTAACAGAGAGTCTTTCTCGAGTGTCTTTCCTAGAAGATGTTATCTCTGACTTCTCGCCTTGCGCTTACCACCACCAGACATATATTTGTTTATCGTTCTCTCCGTGCACCCCTCCTAAAGAGATGGGGGTACTTTGAACTAGAAAGCTTCTACACAGCAAAAACAATAACAAAATGAAAAGACAACTTATAGGAAAGCTATTTGATAAGGGGTTAATATTCAACATATACAGAGCTCATACAACTCAGTAGCCAGTAGAACTGATTGACAATAATAAGCCGATTAGAACATGACAAAGAGACCTGAAAAGAGTTCTCAAGGAAGACATAAAAGTAGCTGGCAAGTATATGAAAAGCTGCTCAGCGTCACTAATCACCAGGGAAGTGCAAATCAAGACCACAATGAGTTACCATGTCACGCTGCCGAGCGGCCACGCGCTGTGCAGTCCGTGCTCTCAGGCGACTGTGCAGAAGGCGGGTCTGTGCTGCCGGTTCTGCCGCCGCCGGGTCTCTCCGTGGACCCGGTACCACACCCGAAGGAATCCCCTGGTCAAGGCCGAGCTGGGGGCCGAGCTGCGGGCCGTCGTCCAGAAACACCACGCCTGGGAGTGCAAGCGCAGAGCCTCGGGGCCGGAGGCGGAGGACGTCTTGGTGGCTATCAGCCAGTTCGCTTATTAAGTAGACCTGGGGAATTGGAGATAAGCAAGGTGGAGGCAGAGCGACGAGCTAGTGAAGAAGAAGAAAACGAAGCCAGTGAAGAATACATACAGAGATTATTAGCAGAGGAGGAAGAGGAGGAAAAACGACAGGCAGAAAAAAAGCGAAGAGAGATGGAAGAGCAACTGAAAAGTGACGAGGAACTAGCCAGAAAGCTAAGCGTTAATACCAACGATTCCTGTGATGGAAATGTCTTGGCTTCTCCCTTGAATCCCAGAAAATCTGATACAGTCACAACCAAGTCCCAAAAGAAAAGTAAGAACAAACAAACAAACCCTGGAGATATTCGTAAGTGTTTGTCACCTAGACCTCAGTTTGGGTCAGCGTCACAGTCTGAAGTTGTACAAGAAAGCAGGGAAAACTCCGTGTCTAAGGAAACTGAGAGTAGTGTTGTAAAGAGCCCTACACAGCAAGATACAGAAATTGAGGAAGATATGCCAACACTTTCTCCACAAATACGCACTGAAATGCAAGAACAGGCTGAAAAGTCTTTAGAGTCACCTGTGCCTCAGTTACGTGCCAATGGTAGAGAATGGTGCCTTGAAGGAAAAGTCCAAATGAGTACAACCAATCATGATAAAGAGTTACATGTCCTAAATCATGAGGGACCTGAAGCCAGAGTTGTTCCTTGCTCTGAAGAAGCTGCAGTTAAGCCTTATGGCAAAACAGAGAGTGGGTGCACTATAGCAGGTACGACACAAATAATTGGAAGTAATACAGTTGAGACAGAAAATGAAGAGTCTTGCCTACCGATCAGTAAAGATATTTCCAAAAGAAAAAAAAAAAGGAATCTTTATCTGAAGCATCCAGGGATCCATGCGTTTCTGCCAAAAGAAGAAAAAAGTTCCCCAAAGCTTCCTCAGACCAAGAGGAAACAGAAATCAACTTTACCCAAAAACTGATAGATTTGGAACGCTGGCTTTTTGGGAGACACAAACAAGAAGAACAGGACAGGTTATTAGCGTTACAGCTTCAGAAAGAAGTAGATAAAGAACAAATGAAGCCAAACCGGCAAAAAGGATCCCCAGATGAGTATCAGTTACGTCCTACATCTTCACCTCCAGACAAATTGCTAAATGGACAGAGGAAGAATTCCAAAACTAGGAACTTCAAAAGACAGACTGCTCTAGAGCATTCAAAATCTCGGAGAGGCTCCAAAAATGAAAATTGGCAGGCATCTTTCAAGATCCAGTTGAAACATCCAGTTAATGGAAGAAAGATGCCAAATTCTTCTAGAGATAATTGTAATGTATCTAAAAGTGCTCATTCCCTACAGCCTAGTAAGTCACAGAAAAGTATTTTTCAGATGTTCCAGAGGTATACAAAGTAATTCATGGGGAAGAGGGAGTATTTTATAATCTAGTAAAGCTGGATTCTGAAGCTCTCTTCTTTATCATAGAGTCTTTATAATTGTTAAACTCATCGTCTATAAAGGACTGTGTGATTACAAGGGAGGAATATAAATATATTTCTGCCAAACTCAGTAGTAAGCAAGAGTCCCAATCCTTTCCTTTTTTAATAACTGTGATGTACTAAGTTTGACAATCCTTATGGATATAAAAATGCCTTGGTGAACTCCCAAGAAATCTTCAAGTGCCATTCTGTTTCCAAAAAATGCATGTTTTATGACCTTTGCTTCCCTTTTGTCCTAACTAGTAGTAATCAAAGCAAGATCATAGTGTAACGAGTAGTTAAGAATCCAGGCAGGGTAATTTTTCTTGCTACTTTCTCATATATTTGCAGAGCACTTGAAATGCATCCTGCATGACACTAAAATAATCTAGTTTTCATCTCCACTTTAATTATTATAGCTGTTATAGCATTTCCTTTTATATAAAATGGTTTATGATCAGTGTGAAATCAGAAAAATCAGAGTTTCCTGGAAAATTAGGAATTAGTTGACAGGAAACTAGGCTCTTGATGCGAAAGGAGTTAGGAGTTGAGGTGCACCAAATTGACGATTTGGAAGCATTGGAACTGACTGCATGATAAGAAACTGGGTCCAGGACAGGGGAGCAGGTAAAGTTTGGTAGAGGGTTCTCCATTCTTCTTTCTTTGCTAAATGACATGGAAAACGTTTGGGTTTTATAGCTTTTCACACCATAGTAACTGGTGTCAAAATCAAAATCAATTGCTAAATTGCGTGAAATTTGGGGATTTGACATTTCTGTTAATCTGCTATTCCAGGAAGAAAAAAATGGGACTTTACTATAGGAGAGTTAAATATATCTTTTGTTGTAGGACCTGAAATATAACCATGTGTTTATTTCCTTATATTATCATTTGTATAGATACTTTTATACGTGTTTATGTACAGAAAAACAAAGTCTGATGCTTGGGTTTTGCCGTCTTACCCCTGAAAGTTAAATCAGAAGGCAGTGATTTCATTTAGTGAAATGTAACTTAGAGACTATTAATCTGTTTTTCATTAATATGAACAACTTTAGGCAAATAGCGGTTTTAACAGCATTTCTGCTGATCTCTAGTTATCCATCCTTTTAAGATAAAAATAAAATGTCCTAGAGCTAATTCTAGCTTAAATTTGTCAATATTTCTGTACATATTAAGATTTTTTTCCCTCCAAATTTTGTAACTGAAATTCTGTTAGTGTTTGCGTACTTAATGGCATCTATTTCAATATTGATTTGGTAATTATGGGTAGAATTCTGATGATAATTTAAAGTTTAATTTGCCCTTTCTCAAAAAAAAAGGTGATTGCCTTTTGAATAATGATTGAAATCTAGTCAGAAACTAACCAAATTTGTCCAAAATACGATAAAATCTGTCTTCTCATCAAACCAGTATTATTCTCAGAGCGATTTCACTTTACATTTTAGAGTAGACGCTGTTGGAACTCCTCAACAGTTGTATAATTAAAATTTCCTGGAATAGTCCTTGACCAAAAAGGAGGAAAAAAAATGGTGTGACGTATAGAATTTACACATTTAACCACTTAACTTGTCTGTGAAGAAATTTTCCTGACCTCAAGATTTCCCTATTAGTTTTTCTGATAGTCTTAGCTTATATGCCTTATTGTTAGAAACTAATAAATGCTTTGTGTCAAAAAAAAAAGAAGGCTGCTATTAAAAAAGAGAAAGACAAATGTTGGTAAATATGTGGAGAAAAGGGAAGTCTAGTGCACTGTAGGAGGGCATGTAAATTGGTGCAACCATTGTGGAAAACAGTATGGAAAGCTTAAAAATAGAAACCAGCAGTCCCCTCACTGCATATTTATCAAAAGGAATTTAAATCAAGATCTGAAAGTGATACCTGTACTTTAATGTTCACTGCAAGATTATCCACAATAGCCAAGATATGGAAACAATTTAAATGCTTATTGACAACTGAGTCAATAAGAACATGTGATATATGCATATAATGGGATATTAGCATTTAAAAAGAAGGAAACTGCCATTTGCAACATGGTTGCACCTGAAGGATATTGTGCTAAGTGAAATGAGCCAGACACATAAAGGCAAATACTTTATGATCTCACTTATATGTGGAATCTAAGGTAGCCAAATCAATAGAAGCAAAGAGTAGAATGGTAGTTGCTAGGACCCAAAGGGAGGGGAAAAATTGAGAAGTGATGGCCAATTGGCATAAGGTTTCAGTTATGGAAGATAAGTTCTGAAGATCTACTATATAGCATAGTGCCTATAAATAACAATAATATACTACTAATTAATAATAACTAAGCTAATAACAATATGCTTAATTATATAGTATAATAATTTATTAAGAGGGCAAACCTTATGTTCAGTGTTCTTACTTCCTCCCCCACACACAAACAAACCTAAGATAATAATAAAGAAGACAAGAGGAAACTTTGGAAGGTGATGGATATATTTATTGCCTTCATTGATGGTTTCATAGGTATATACTTTTCCCCAAATTCATTAGTTGCATACATTAAATATGTACATTTAAAAGTTTTCAGCTTTATTGAGGTATAATTGACAAATACGTTGTAAGATATTTAAAGTGTACAACACAATAATTTTATATATGTATACATTATGAAAGGATTCCCTCAACAAGTTAATTAACACATCCATCACCTACATATTTACATTTTACTGCTTTTTTTTCTTTTTGGTGAGGCATTTAAGTTCCAATCTCTTAATATATTTCAATAATACAATACAGTGTTATCAACTATAGCCACCCAGCTGTACATTAAATCCTCATATTTTATTCATCTCATAACTGAAAGTTTGGATGCATTTACCAACCTCTCTCTATTTTCCTAATTACCCAAACTTTGGCAGCCATTTTCTACTCTGTTTCTATAAGTTCTACCTTTTTTTTTTTTTTTTTTAGATTCCACATTCAAGTGATACCATGCATTATATTCCTTTGTCTGGCTAAGTTATCTTACTTAGCATTATGCCCTCCAGTTTTATTTGTGTTGCCATAAAGGGCAGGATTTCTTCTTTTTTATGGCTGAATAATATTTTGTATTTTGTTATGTACATATACCACATTTTCTTTATCCATTCATCTGTCAACAGTTACAAACCTAAGCTATTGTGAATAATTCTGCAATTAACATGGGAGGCTTTTGGAGCAAGGCCACACCACCTTTTGGAGCAGCTATTCTATTAACAAAATCTAGCTTTTTGCTGGCTCCTGGCAATAAAAGGTAACCATGAACCAAAGCAACTCATCCTGGATGGGGCATTATCTTGTTTATATAGCCATGAAATTAGGCATTTGTAGCAGTAATCTCCTATCAATTAGAAGTCATATATACAGAATGAACCCCCTATCCCCATTAAAGTCTCAAAGGGAAAGGGCAGATCCATGGATGGTTTTTAATGCCTGCAAATGTGATTCCACCGATCTGGCTGCCACCTCTTTTTTCAAATTTATGCCTTTTTGAAGGGGTAACTTGCTTATGACCAGCTGACACAAAAGGATTAAGGCTCAAAGCCAGATTACCGATAACCCCAAAACCAGATTACCAATGGCCCCAGTATCTGTGAAAAGTGAGTTGTGTGGCATTATAGTTTGTCTCAGGCATGATCAACAAAGACAACAGGGAAGGAAATTTCTCATTGGTCATTATGCTTGGTAGAAGGTTGGCAAGATTTACACTGATTCCCAAGAAGTAGCAAATAATTTGTATAAATAACCAAGGGAAGAAATGAAACAAGATAATGACCTCATGAGATTAAGAGTAGAAGCGTATATTGGAAAGCCATGATATTCAGTTTCTCCTTGATATGTGGAATTCGTATTGCTATCAAATAAATATATATGCTCACTAATTGTTTGCAAAGTTGAATTTATTTTTCAGATCCACTCAACATGAGAACATATCTCATAATTAGAACTCACTTTTTGAGTGAGATACAAATTGGAGAATGACACGAAGGTTTAGCAAAATCATTTGGGTCAACCAGAATAGATCCAGGTCTGAATGTAAATAAGTGAGTGCTTACCAGAGGTTTCCTACCAGGAATTTTCATGAGAGAATCAGGTAATTAGCAGTATGTGTTAATTGTCATCACATTTGTGGTTGTCAGTAAATCTTTCCCATCCTACTTAGTAGCTGACAAATGAGGTTCACAAATAAGGTAGCAGCTAGGGTAGGATGGAGGTCATACATGGGCTGGAAAGACTAAATTCACTTTATTGGAGCCAGTATGGATACCACAATGCCAAAAATAAAATGATCTGCCTTTTGGCATCACCATGGGTGCCAGTCAGCCACCTGGTAACAAGTGAATAAAACTTTGATCCTTTTCTGTTAGGAAGAGGGCAATATTTGCTTTCTTCTGATATAAAATGCTATTGATTTTGATTTTTCCTTTAATGTCCAATATGCCCCAGAAAGTGCTGCTATCCATGGGCTTATTGAGTATTTTATTCACTACCATGAAATGCTGCACAGCACTTCATCTAACCAAGGAATTTATTTCAAAATAAAAAAGGCAACAGATATATATTGCATCATTTATTTTTTAATTCCTTATTTTTCATGATACTAAATCTTGAAAGATTGACCTATGGAGAATTCTACTCTGACACCAGCTGAAGGATACTGTCTGGCAATTTCAGTGTGTTGTTTGCAGGAGGTGATTTTAGCTGAACTGTAAGTCAACATTGACATTTTCTTCCATTTGCTGAAACTCCCTGCTAGCCATTTTGAGTTTTTTTTTGTTTTTTTTGTTTTTTGTTTTTACTCCAAAGCAGCCTTTCTAAGCAGAAAAGGCTATCATCATACTATCTGGGATGATCAATTCTGGCTATCAAGGGAAAATAGAGTTACTGCCATATAGTAAGGGCTGAGATGTAGGTGGGTTTTTTTGTTTGTTTGTTTTTTGTTTGTTTGTTTTTACTCTGTTTT